TAGAATAAACATTTTTATTTCCAATAATGCAATTGTTCTGATTGTTAGTAACATGTCTTTGAGAGATTTCAAGGTCGAGACTACTCTATATCAGTAGGTTTAGCTTATCAGTTGTCAGGCCCCTGTCAGTAAATGTTTTTAGGTAAAGAGAAAACTTTAAATACTCTGTAAAATCTTATTGAATATCAAATAGTTTATTGGTAGAAAAATAACTTCTTGTAAAAGAAGTAATAATGACAAAAACCAGTTTGTGATACGGAAGTTCATTGGATTATACTGCATCGGTTCTTCCCCACATACAACTAACAACTATAATGACGAGAAACTTTAGAGTTTGCTAAAATAGAGATTACATTATCCGTGGAAAGTAGTAAATATCAAATTACAATCGGGAACTTATAATGCTCAAAGCTATAAAACGATGAAATCACATGTACGGGAAGAAGTAAAATCGGATAATTTACCTACAATACTCAATCCAACTGAAAAGAGTTCGAACCATGACGGCACTGAGTTGATTATCTAAAATCTTATAATAAGTGATTAGAACTCATCTACAAAACATCAAACCGAAATAATAAAATATCATACGGCAAATAATTTATTGATCAAGGCTAAAGGTGATAATCATACAAGCACCCATTCCTATTAATTATAAAATCGACGTAACAAGTTGTATTGTGAAAGTTACAAGATTGAAAACCAAATAAAAGACTACATTAGATATACTATCATATTTACTACACAAATATTTGCTTACTTACGACGCAACAATGCAAGCATGTTCGTGTTATAATGCTGCTACGTATAGCTATTCAGTCCTAGCGGCGTCCAAATTCAAATATCCCAGTACGACCCAAATACTATTTCCAAATCTATATATCAGAACGCAACATCGTTGGATGGAGTTGTTTATTAGGTCGAGTACAGAAGAGAGGTAGGCAGGAATAAACGGAATCGGAATCATGGAGTCTTACATTAAGGTCAAATAGGGAAGAGCATCAAAGTCTGTGACATTGACAGTTTAGGACGACCAATAGGAAAGAACATTTGAAATGACATTGACAGTCCGGATGACCAATAAGAGACAACATTGAAGTATTTGACTTTGACAGATAAAACGATCATAATTTTGACGAATAGAAATCGACTAATAGGATCATACTTCTAAAAATAGTACTCTTAGGATATTTGGTGAATATCCTAACATTTCAGGATGCGGTTTTCCACCTCGAAATGCAAAATGTTGCTTCAAGACTGGGTTGCATCGGCACCGAAACTAGTGATAGGGAGTGAAGTAGTCGAGCGTGTAGACCACGTCACTTATCTGGGGAGTCTCATCGGTGCCGATGGCCTGGTGACTGACGAAATCTCAGCACGGATACAGAAGGCTCGATTGGCTTTTGCCAACCTGCGTCACTTATGGCGTAGACGTGATATCCATTTGCTGACTAGAGGACGAGTGCAGTAGTTCGCTCCGTCTTACTTTACGGCTGTGAAACATGACCAGTGAGAGTAGAAGATATTCGTAGGTTACTGGTTTTCGATCATAGGTGTCTTCGAAGCATTGCTCGTATATCGTGGGACACCCGAGTGAGCAACGCTTTTATTAGGAAATCGGGTGCTAGGTAAGAATGGCAGATCAATCGATGAAGTATTGAAACTTCACCAGTTGAGGTGGTTGGGACATGTGTTGCGTATGCCCAACCACCGACTGCCTCGTCGAGCTTTGTTTTGTAGTGTAGGAATAGGTTGTAAGAAAGTTAGGGGCGGCCAAACCAAAACATGGCAGAAATCCATGAAGTCATTGACGAGTGGACTTAGCCATGTCGGTAATTGTCGACTACCTGGTTGGGGTCCGCGAGATGATAATAATCGATGGTTAGAGACCTTGAATGACATGGCTCAAAATCGTTCGCAATGGCGCCAGTGCATTTACTCGTTGAGCTCTCATCCTAATCTTCTGGATTCTTCAACCCCTCTAGTTTCGACTCTCTAAACTTTTCTCACTGAATCATACTTCTTGAATAGTATCTTCTAATCCTAACCTCTCCGATTACTTCTAATTCCCTTACTACCTCCTCTACTATTGGATTTGAATTGACGATTACTTCTCTGTGCTGATGTGGCATGGCAACATGAACTGATGTACTCACGTACGAAGTTCTACGTTGCATCTGACTGAATGACTGTTACCCCTCGTGAAGCATAGGCCGCCTACCAGCACACTCCAACCAACTCTGTTCTGAGCTCTCCTTTTCAGTAGTTTCCAAGTGCTATTTATTCTCTTTATGTTTGTCTCCAATTCTAGGCACAGTGTGTTCCTTGGTCTACCCCTTTTCCTTTGTCCTTGAGGATTCCAAGATAGGGCTCGTGTCATGACGCGGTTTCCGAAACGTGTATTTCATCCACCCCCGACGTTTCTCATTTCCTCAGCTGGAATCTGGTTTTTTTCTCCCACAGTAGGTTGTTGCTGATGGTGTCTGTCAAACGGATCCGCAGTATGTTGCGTAGCCAGCTGTTGTAATCCGAAGGTATGTCAGCTACTCTGTTTGTTATCACGTCTTTCATGGTACTTTTGATCTGACTGATGCAGATGCAATCTATTTGGTTCAGTGTAGTTTGGTCACCATGATGTATCATAATTCTCGTAAATGAAAACCTTTCAACTTCTAGGGCAGAGTTCAAATAGCTTTTTCTGGTTAGCATTCTCTTAGCAAGTTTGTCTTCTACGCGATGGGTTTGATAACCCCATACCGAACTCTTCTCCTTTATTTAGGCTTGAAACCGGTAGTAACACTTGAACGGCTTTAAGTGGAGTAAATGATAAACACTAGAAAGGGAACTACTAGCAAGTTTATATCTGTTTTACCTATACAAAAATGTATATATTAATCATGAATTTCTGCATCAGACAGTGTAGGCTGCAGTTTTATTGGAATAAATATTATTATCTCATCTCATGAATCTCGGTAAGTGAAAAAAGGTTGAAGTTGATGACCTAGCAGATAAATATTGAGCACCAAAGTTTATGAGCAACAATTTAGTGTTTTTTCATTCTCTGATTTCGTGTTTATTCAGTCACAAGTTTATCATGGGGATTATATCCCTGCCTTTCAGACATAGTATTTGGGTTTAGTCAATACAGAACAATCCATTATCGCATAACTCATCATGTTTAGTGACTGATTATATACGGAGTTCAGTACTTTTTTTTACAAATAAACTTGAATGAAACCTCAAGATTCTATTGACGATGCGAACATAGATTCTCCAACATCACAGAAGTGCGGATTTTTTTCGATGAAAATATTACTAATATATTTACTGAGAAGAATAGAGGGAGAAGCAACACCACTCATGTCTACGTATTGGCACGTAAATTCTGCTACTATATATCTCTTAATAGTTTCAATTCATTTGAAACTATAGATCACAGAACACTTGCTTTATCTTATTTTCCGCTTCTTGGAAGTATGTATCTGCACTGGCACTGTAATGAGGATCAAACTTAGGACTTTTATCCTTGTTAGCCTATTGAAAAATTCGGATGAAAACACCAGTTCTTGGTATAGTCTATCTTTTGAAGCAACAAGGTGCAGCTATATTGAGATTCAACCATCCAATATGTCATGAGTAAATAAACAGTTGAATTTACCAACTAAGCTACCCATTATTCTTGTTCATTGTACAGAATTTTAGTTGGTTTGTCTTTTTTTTAATGAACAATCAATAAATTAAGAAGAGACTTATTGGATTATAATTTATTTATTCAATTACATAGTACGTCACATTAGTCATTTTTGTCTTCAAAATATACAAGTGGTTTGTGTTCAGATATACTACTAGTCGATAAATAAGAAACATTTTAGTAGCGTATATAATTTGTCACATGCTTGTTATATGTAAATTTTTTCAAACTATCTGATATTGGCACTCACTTAAGAATTCAATACAGAATTACGGTTAGATTTCGGAATTAGTTTGAGTTCAATCAAATATATAAGGGATTTGCAATGATGTAAAGCGAGATATTTCTTTAAGCTGTTCACAGCATAGAATTTTCTTGAGCAAATTTATACTTTTGTAACAATACGTTTATATAACAACATTTAATAGGGAGCATAGTTAAATAGAGAGAGAACTGTAAAATCATTTTTTTGAGTTAACCAATTAAAAAACTGTCGACTGTAGGATATTACTTTTGAATTTTAACTATGAAGACTATATAGACAATAAATGAAGTGATCAGAATATTATGAGATAATTGCCACGTAAATGATTATCAACGAGAATGACTGTTTTGAATTATCAATTAGAGGCAGGGAACCGAAATAATTATATCAATCTACATGGAAATGATGGAGAATACTTCCAGCTTAGAATGAAGAATTATTTTGAGGAGGGAATGGTATTTTTCTCTCTGAGTTTAGTAATTTAATTGTGAAGGTTTTACGGTCTTCTTAGACAACACTATGAGCACATACTACATAAGAGCAAAGTACTAGAATTATTAAGCAATTTACTAACAGCTCATTCTGTTGACCTAATTGTTGTCAATAATTATGACTGTTCTGTGCACGTTAATTTTAACTGTATTTTTCTGGCCTTGGAATTTTTCCTTTTCGTGATGTTTAACAGCTACTTGGTGTTAACGTAGATGCAGACGGATGATATGGGCACTTTATCCTACGTAGTGCTTTTCTGGGTTGCGGCAATTTATCCTGTAGATAACGTTTCGTTATTCTTCATTTGTCGTGGCGTCGTTCGGCCTGTATAACATTGACTGTTAAAGATTTGTAGGTTACACCTATTCCCAGAGGCCTTAATAGTCTTAGTTCTTAATGCAACTCAGGCTTATTTTGATGCAAAATATATACAGTGCATGTGTATGTGTTGCTTAGATTTCAGACGCAAATTTTGACGACTATAGTCAAGTGGATCAGAAAGAGGCGTACTAAAAAATAAATAAGATTTGATAGTCAACAACTTTATTAAATGCATCATAAGCAGTATAATGCGGAACTAGATTAAGAATAGAATGTTTATTTAAAAAATATATGCTTATTAATAGAAAACTCAGTGTTCAGATATTTTATATTCAAAACTACTACCTGTTAAGATACAAAGATATTTGAATTCATTAAACGTAAAGAAAGTAGTATTGTGTTTATTTTATCTCGTGACCATGTCAAATCTTCTGAACATTTATTATTATTATTATTATATTGATACCGTGAGCAAACTTGACTGTGATCTGATGAAGGTGAATGAATATTATTACTGAAAATAAAATAGGGAAAAATCATAATCATTAGTGTGTAACGACAGTACTAGACGATACAAATAAAACCAGTCAGAATATATATATATATATATATATATATATATATATATATATATATATATATATATAATTTTTAGTTCTAGTTCAGCTTTCAGAGATTAAATTTAAAAAGTTTAATTTTGTGAAAATAATACTAACATTTTGTTCGATACAGTTGAAATATGTACCACTGAGTTGAAAATTTTCAACCTTCGTTAAAGCATTTATATAGGATGATGTAACTTTAGGGGTCGCATACTTTGGTACTCATGTAAATACAAATCTTTTATAGGGACGCTGCAAAGCAACCAGAAAATTACTTCAGACAAAATTTCTGACATGGTGACTAATTCATCTGTAGCACTACTGTTGAGACCAGATGGAATAAATGTTGTGCGTGAAGAAGGCAGTTTACTAGCAAAATGTGAATACGTTATCTGCGGACTTCCATTTACAAAACAAGCAGATTATTGGTTGCCTTCTTTCGCACGTGTTCTAGTCTTCAAAACAGTTTGATCGCGCCATACATTCGGATCCGACATTCCTCTTCAGCAGTAACTTCTGAACGACACCTCGCTGTATACTACTAAAAGGTCACGTTACGAGTAGTGTCCACCATACACTACTAAGGCTACTGTCAACGTTTACACAAATGTCAGTGATTTTAATGTATAAAATCCATCTGTGGATGTTTCGTATTTTGCTCCTTACCAATCAACTGACGATTTTTTCTCGGTCACCGTTCTGTAGTACACAGACGCGGTATACAATTACCCAATTCTTTTCTAGCGTCACAATTGTAGTTTGGAAACTTTAATATTTGAATGAAATTAAAATGCATTTTCGCAGAATTCGATTAAAAGAGATGAACCAACTCATTCACTTGGTAAAAATTGTGTTTATGGCTTCAAATCATGCTTTAGGGACTGGCATTTTAGTGATACTAACCGGTGTCCAAAATTAATCAGATAATGTGAGATTAGCATTTTTGAACGTTCTGACTATACTTAGCCACCATTCCACTAAGCATTGATCAAGTAGTTTTATGGTCATTAAACAATGAGGAAGTGCGATTTCGGGAATTAAAAACTAGGTATGGTAAAAGTCCATCTTATAGCATTATTAATACAAAGTACAATAGAACTACATTTAATATTGAGACGGGAGATGTACTTAATAAACAGATTTATATTTTATGAGTTTGTAATATGTTCTATTCGCTACAAGAAACATTATTATTTTAATTTATAACATACCCATCTTCACCATCAGGATTATTAACAAGAACTAATACATCTGCTTGAAATTCTGTATATCTATACAAAGCCATATGAATGAATACAACATCTTCATTGGATTGATTAAATTTAGTCACTTTTTGCCGTCCAGACAATAAAACGACGGAGGAGCAGCTGAAGTGTATTTGAAGATATAAGACTGATCATGTGGAAAAATTTACCAAGAGAAAGATAAAACAAATAGGTCCTATATTAAGGATGAAGTTGGTTTCTTTGAATTATTGATTAAGCTGTGAATGATTGTCAAACATAGGACAAAGCGCACGTACTAGATTCCAATGCCAACCACAACTGATGTTCCGTAGAAAAATACTCACAAAAGCTTCATGGATTTGGTTTATAAGATGTAAAGCTAATTATCAGTAACACAAGCAAGTATCACAATATTTCCAAGTACAATGAACTTTTATTTATGTTGATCAAAAAAACAATACTATTAGTTATATTTCAAAATAGCAACAACAAATATTAAGTACAAAGTTGGCAATGATTTGGTTATCTCAATATATATGATGTTTGCGCTGGTGTTAAATATGCAGTTAACTGTTACATTTGCAAAAGAGATAAAGTAAAAGAAAAGTCATGTACGGAAGTCAAACAGCACCTGTTTAATTAAAGAAGGAGACTTCGGAATGTAGGAAGTAACCAATTAGAGTAGGAAAACCTGATGAAAATATTCTCTATGTTAATACGTTTGTCAGTCTCGATAACACTCTGGAGCCTGTCTAGAGCTCGTGAAGAGCAGACTCGAGAAAACCAGACTGGTTTCAGACCTGGACATGGCTGTATATACCAGATATTCACACTACGTCAGGTACTAGAATGTAGACACATTCAGATGTCCCACAATAGTAGTATTTCTCGACCTTAAAGCGGCGTTTGACTCTGTTGATCGTGAGGTTCTGTGGCAGTGTCTGTCATTGTAAGGTGTAACAAAGAAGTACGTTAACATTGCACAAGCTCTCTACTTGAACAATACTGGTCGAGTGATGAACTGTCATCAGAATTCAATATCGCAAGTGGTGTCCATCAGGACTGTTTACTCTCTCCGTTCTTGTTTAACTTTGTCGCAGACTTTTCAGGGGTGAACCTTCTACTAGGAGACACGCTTGTTGACTCGAGTATGCTGCTGACATAGTCCTAATCAGTGGAGACGCTGACAAAATCCAGAGTCTTCTGACTACCCTAAGCAACAATGCAAGCATGTTCGGGATGCGATTTTCCCCATCGAAATACAAAATGTTGCTACAAGATAGGGTTGCATCGGCACCTGAACTAGTGATAGGGAGTGTAGTCGAACGTGTAGATCGCTTCACGTATCTGGGGAGTCTCATCAGTGCCGATGGCCTGGCGACTGACGAAATCTCAGCAGCGATACAGAAGGCTCGATTGGCTTTTGCTAACTCGCTTCACCTATGGCATAGGCGAGATATCCGTTTGTTAACAAAAGGACGAGTCTACTGCGCGGCAGTTTGCTTCGTCCTACTTTATGGCTGTGAAGTATGGTCGGTAAGAGTAAAGGATATTTGTAGGCTATTAGTATTCGATTATAGATGTTTTCGAAGCATCGCTCGTGTATCGTGGTACAACCAAGTAATGCTGTCGTTAGGAAACGAGTGCTCTATGTAGGGATGAAGTATTGAAAGTTGAGATGGCTGGAACATGTGTTACGTATGCCTAACCGCAGACTGCCTCGACGAGCTATGTTTTGTGATGTAGGAGTAGGCTGGAAGAAAGGTAGGGGCGGCCAAACCAAAGCATGGCAAAAATCGAAGTCACTGATAAGTGGACTGAGTCATGTTAGTAGATGTACACTTCGTGGTCGGGGTCTGCGAGATGGTAGCAACCGAGGCTTAGAGACCTTGAACGACATGGATCAGAATCGTTTGCATTGGCGCAAGTGCATATACTCCTTGTGTTCTGTGAAATTCTAATCTTCTGCATTCTTTATCGTCTTTAATTTTCAAGTTCTGAAGTTATCTCACTGAATAATATCTTCAAACCCTAATCTTCTCCATTACTGCTAATACTTCTACTATCCCCACCATTATGGGATTCGAACTGAGAGTTGCGTCTGTGATTATGTTGTATGACAACTTGAACTGATGTACGTACGTACGAAGTTCTACGTTGTTACCGACTGACTGAAAATCTTTAACTTAGAAAGGCCAGGTTACACAAGCACAGAACAGAACTACTCTCAATGACGCGGTTAGATCCTAACTTTTATAGCCAGACTAACATCACTATGTGTGAAGTGATCTTATCACTCATGCCACCATCAATGTTTAATAAGCTTCTCATATACACAAACTTCTGAACTACTCCTATCTGATCACTACCAAGAGTGATTGCAGGTTCAGAGTACTTACGGTCTTGTAAAAGTACTTTATACTTAAAAAATCCGAAGCAAACGCAGTAACTTGATGCACTAATTGCCAACTAATTAAGTGAGGATTGCACGGCTTGGGTATCATCTCACAGTAAGACAATATCATCATTATAAACAAGGTCGAGAAATCTTTCTCTATGCAAAAGATCTACGCCACCACCTACCTGAATCAGTGCAGTTTTCAGAACGTCATCGATAGTAAACATAGAAAAGAATGACGAAATTGGATAACTCTGCCTAACTTCACTGTTTGAATCGAACAAAAGGAAAACAAATATGCCTTTGACAAGTAAGCATTTCAAGCGATTTGAACAGTTTGTGGATTATGGCAGAAGCTAGTGATTTGGACTCATTCGAAAGAAAATTTATTTCAGATAGTTATAACATGGACAAAGTTGATAACTATGAAAGATAAAGACGACGACTGTCTTATTCCACGATGTTGGGACATATAGGAAGAAAAATATTTTATGAACAGAAAAATCATGTTTGAGTCAGAAAGTCTTTGATAGTGGCGGGAAATTTATTCATGCATATGGAATGAATGCACCTACACCATTGCAAATCATATCGAGCCATGTCAAGGTCTCTAATCATCATCTCGCGGACCTCAACCAGGAAGTTTGCATTTACCAACATAACTCAGTCCACCTGCCAGTGACTTCATCGATTTATGCCATATTTTGGTCTGGCCGCCCTTACCTATCTTCCAACCTACTACTAAACCACATGACATCACTGGTCCAGGCAGTCGTGGTCAGGCATTGGTGACATGCCCAACAGTGATTGATGATGGTGTCTGGGCAACAGATCCGAAGTATTTTGCGTAGACAACTGTTAATAAATACTTGCATCCTCTGGATGATAGCTTTGGTATCGTTCTACGTTTCCACCACGTACAGTAGAACTGCCTTGACATTTGTATTGAAAGTTCTGACTTTGGTATTTGTTGACAGTTGTTTGGAATTTCGGATGTCATTCGATTGTAGAAATACTGACCTTGCTTTGCCGATCCACACATTCACATCTGCTTCAGATCCACTTTGCTCGTCAATGATGCTGCCCGGACATGTAAAGATATTTACATCCTCCAGAGCTTAATCAATTGTCATTTGGTTGGTGCATGTTGTGTTGTATCGGAGAACCTTGCTTTTACTTTTATGCATGTTGAGGCCTGCTGCTGCTACAATGATCGTCTTCTCTTGCATTTGTTGTTGCGTGTGCGATAGAAGAGTCAGATCATCTGCGAAGTCCAAATTGTCCAGCTGCATCCTGGCTGTCCACTGTGTACCGTGCTTCCCTCCAGATTTTGATATCTTCAAAACCCAGTCGATCACCAGGAGAAAGAGGAAGGGTAAGAGTAGGCAACCTTTCTTGACACTGGTCTTCACCTCGAACGAGTTTGTCAGCTGCTCTCCGTGCACGATCTTGCAGTTTAATCCATCACAAGAATTCCGTATGATGTTGACTATCTTCTCAGGCACGCCGTAGTATTGTCCTGTTCACGCTATCAAATGCTTTCTCGTAGTCAATCAAGTTGATGTAGAGTGGTGAGTTCTATTCGGTTGCTAGTTCCACAATGACCCATAATATTGCGATTTGGTCGGTACACGATCGATCCTTACGAAGTCCAGCTTGTTGATCTCGAAGTTAGGTGTCTATGAAGTCCTTCATTTTGTTTAACAACACCCTGTTGAAGACTTGATCTGGTACTGTGTGAAGAGTGATGCCTCTGTGGTTGTCCCACTTGCTGAGGTCGCCTTTCTTTGGTATTTTGTCCAGGTGTCCTTGTTCCCAGTATGTTGGTACTTGTTCTTCCTACCAAATCTGGTTGAAGAGAATGTGGAGTATTTTCGCAGTTGCTCTCACGTCTGCATTCAGTGCCTTCAGCTGGAATGTTATCTGGTCCAGCTGCTTTGCCGCTCTTGATTTTTCTGATGGCCATGCTGATCTCTTCAATTTTTGGTAGGTCAACATCGATTCCAAGGTCCGTGGATGCTGCTTCGATCATGGGTGTGTTCATTGGGACTGGTCGATGCCACAGTTCTTCAAAGTGCTCTACCAACCTGTTCTTTTGTTCTTCAGTATTGCTGATTACTTTGTATTCCTTGCTTTTCACTGGTCGTTCCGGTTTACGATAGTTTCCAGCGAGCTTTTCCTTAAGTATCCAGCTGAAATTAGTTATTGATAGTAACCACCTTCAAAGTGAATACGTTTGTTACCAATGTTTTTAAATATATTAGTGAATGATTGAAAACGTGAGAACTGGATTCACAAATTCCTATCTACCAACTTCCCACAACTTGTATTAAACTAAATTCATACCACAAAATTGGGAACAGCATAGTATGTTTAATCTCGAGAACTTACTAAGGATCTGGATTCTGCAATGATACAATCCTTATGGAAGAGATGCTTGGATCTGTAGCTTCGTTAGATTCACTGATTTCATCAAAGTGTATCCTGATAATGATCAGTATGAAAAGATTATTCTCAATAAATGAGAGAAAAGTTTAATGCTTATAAATTTTGGAACATAACTACGATAAAGATTCTTATCTATCGTTGAATATTTCAATGGGTTACAAGTTAAATGGTTTACCAAAAATTGGCTGGTTTAGGGATGATTCTCATTATGAAATGATAAAATACATCGAACTATTGGAAAATAGGAAATACTAGATAATTGCTTTTTATTATACAGTAAATACCCAGAATACAGATGGTAGTGTTTCTTCTAAGACGCGGTTCCTGCGTTCAATCTTATGTCTGACTGCATGATTCTTATGACTTAAGTTATTCCATAATAAAAGATTGTCAGTCAGATAATCAAAATTAAAAATCTAGTAACCTAGTGTTCAAAAGTCATTTTTTTAAAAATATATATATATAAAGAGAGAGATCACGAAAACGTTAACAGAAATAGTGAAAATATACATTACAAGACTATTCACTTAGTCTACTTACAATTTATAAATATATTACTCAACGTTTGGAACTAATAAGACTAATGAAAAAATATATTTTCTGATGATACAATATGTGTAAATGTTTTTTGCAACTGATCATTAACTACGCAATAAGTTGTAGACATACATTAAAAATGATTATTCAATTGCGTAATTTTCGAACCAATTCCATAAACTATGCTACAAAAAGTAAGTAAGCATTTTGTTTACTTTTGTTGAAAAACAAACTTATTGACAATATTCAACAGAAAAATCCGACTTTACCTTGCTGCATCTTCATGATTATTAGCATCCACATATTCTAAAATATCTATAGTGATACTTTGAGAAGTTGATGGATGAACAAATACTTCTTGATTATCAGGAATTTGACGTAGATCACTTACAATTGTTGCATGTAGTTAATAGTTTAATTAAAAAAAGGATAATACGAATAATAAAATCAGTTATAAGCAACGTATTCAAAAGGCATATTAAAAAAAAATTGGAAATGAAAAACACCTAAGAGACAAACAAAACAATTTAACAGACAAAAATTGAAGTCTAAGATAAAGACCAATCGATTCAATGTCAATTGACCTAAAAGTACAGTGTTGTGCATGAGACTTGAAGATTCTACAATTATATATATAAACTATTAATCTAAAAAATAAACAACTTAATGTATGTTATAATTTGAATAGATAACTGTAGAATTCGATAAGAATTTATTTCAAAGAATATTTTTGTTCATGTTTTAAAATGATGGGGATTTTTAGAAAGTAATGAAACATGTACAATTTGTCTCACCTGGCATCAATTACATTTGTTGGTAATAAGCATTGAAATGCTCCATCAAACAATGGGTGAGATTGCATTGTACTGAAAATAAACATTCAAAAAAAAAAATTGAAAAAGACGTATGGAGAGAATTAAAACGAATAGATTAGTAAAAAAAAGAATACAACTTGACAGTTAATTAGTACTGACTTGTCAATAAACACTAGCTAATGTCATCAGACGCAATCAACACTCCAATCAATCACATTTGCAATGCGGACATTAGATTAGATGATGTGATATCAAGTTGTACCTTGTATATCAAATGGTTGAGCGCAATTGGCATGAAGCACTAGACCTAAGTATAGAGCTGATTGACATTCATCGGTCAACAAGTGATATTCCAACCCCGTCCCCCTCGAGATTTAAACGTACATCACTTAGTTCTAAGGTCAGAAACGTTATAGATGAGCTGTTGGATTTGTAATTGCGATGTTAATCACAATAGATGAATGGAAAAGACAATACACGATAGTGGAATAAACAACTACACCTACGTATATAGATTTGTTTATAACGCACCATAAATAGTATATATAGCTTATAAAATGAGCACGCATTAAGTTATAAACCAAAATTCATACAAATTCTTTCATAGAAAAAGTACATCTTTTAAACTTGAAAATATTCTATCATACATTCATATAGTACTAATTGCAGAAAGGCTTCCGCATTTACAAAAAAAATCTTAGCCAAATATAATCATCTATCTATAAAGACAAATCCACCTCTAACTAATGAATAATTTTCAGATAAACGTTTCATTTCAACTAAAAAACTGTTGCATATCATGATCGAAATCGCAGTAACACATGATTGTTCCGAATTCGATCTCATGTCCAGCAGTCTGATTATACTGGTGATGAAGTGCAGTTTGTTTATTCTTGGGCTAGAAATGGAGCTTTGAAAGTGAATTTCAACAGCTAAGTTTGTCTGCATCCATGTTGATGTTCGCACCATCGATTTAACTCAATAACTTTCATTTTAAATGTCACTACAATCCACTGAGGTGAACTCCAATATCCACTAATTTTCCAATGTTTATGAAGGCATTAATAATAGTTTTTAATTTTCTGTTGTGTTGATATTTAAAATTGCAGTTAACAACCAGTATCTCTCTCTGTTCTAGATCCCATTACTAGCAACATAACTTTCGGAATAGGAATGTATAGCAATAGATACTGATCAAGTTCAATCTAGAATATCAGTAATAATTAATGAAAAACTATGAATAATACTTACATAATTTATTATTCAAGTATAGTCGAACATACAAAAAAATCTCTATATTAGATGCTTGTTTACCATTGGCCAAATATCAAGATACAATAATATCATATTATTCGGAATACAAACATACAGAACTGATTAAAACGAAGCATTTGGAAGTCTTAGTAGATTTACTGAAAAGTTTACAACGAATTTGTTAGATTATCAGGGAATGATATTTTAATATTGAATTTCTGATAAATGAAATAAGTTATTGAATAGAATATAGAAGACCAACAATAAATAATATGCACAAACATTGAAATAAATAAAGAGGCATAATTTACAAAGAATTAACAAAAGTTCTATTTTACAAACATGAGATTCATTGTTATTAGTACATATGTGATTAACTATGGAGTGATTTTATTATTCAATTAAATCGGAGGAAAAAAACATTTCTCTTTAATTATGATTTCTAGTGACAGAGTTAGATTATTGTTTGAATTTTTTTTTCTGATATTCAACAATTATGATCATGTTGAGATATTACACTATGGTAATAGTAATTTTCGTCTCAAATAAATCACAATGTTTTATGCGTTACGATATCAACAATGAACATTTGAAAAAGATAGAGAAATAACATCTGAATCAGTTCATTTCATCAGTAGTATAATTACATACTATACAATTTAAAAAGAATAAAAATCACTGAGACCACTTTACAAAAAATTTATTAAGTAATTTATGGAACCATCTCGTAATCAAAAGTTACTAAATTAAATTGAGGTTTTGTACAAAATTAATTCATGCTACAGCTGTTAGTATGTGTCACTGAAAATTCCAAGTCTATTATTTTCCGCAAAGAATACAGGAATAATATCATTAGAAATTTGTATTTTTTTTGTCGGTGAGAGTAAATCAGTACCAAATTGTTCTTATTTACGTTTCGTTGTTTAATGTTATTAGCTTTATAACAGTTACAGTTAACCAGAACACATCATGATATGAATTTATAAAGCGATAACCAAATATTCAGATAATATACTTATCACGACAATTGCCTATGATGATATCAATTACGTAATGTATATTTCTTCATTTTGTTTCCATTTAATTATCAAATGTTGTATTTTAATAAGAAAATAATGATATCGTTGTAAGTGGAAATTAAAATTTCTTCTGTCCAAAGCAGTAACTCAAACCAAGCAGTGAAATTTCTAAAATTCTAATTTCTACTCATTGACATATTATAAATATATCATTATTTATCATTGTCAAATTAGCCAATGCTCTATTTTGTGAATTGGATTTTATTAAATTTCAATAATATAACAATTTTTCTTATGGAATTCAATTAACGATTCAATAGTAAATATCAAAATATTGTCTTAATGAACAATAGTACATGTGACTAATTCACCATGGGGCTGACAAAGTCAACAAAGATACTTATTAATTATATTGATTAGTCACATTAGGTAATAGATTATTTGAATAATTTCAATAAAGATTAAAATTGAAATGGTGCATAGGGTGTATATAATCAGTAGACTAGGAGTTATAATTAAAGAAAAGTATTGAAGCTGCATATTATTAATGTTGGTTCTTATTTAGTTAATGTAAACTTCTCTTGGCGTAATTCGTAATCTTTATGAACAGTGCCTGTATGTCATAGTTGATTCATGGTTTGCAATAAAAGACTGAATTAACCAGTAGCTTTGAATGAAAAACATATAAGCATCTGCATAGGTATTGTTAGAGTTTGGGAATTTCATTAGATCGAATTGGTTATTTATTCGTCTACATTTAAATGCTTCTCCATGAACGATATTCGTAGTTGAAAAATTACTCAGAATGAATGCATTTTATAACTGCGAAAGAGAATATGTATTCATATGTAGTCCTTTATAGATTTAGATGACTGATATGTCAATTCTGATATTTAATAAGAAGTAAGATGGTGGAAAAAAAGATACAGCCATGCAGAACCACATTCAAAAGTTTATTAAATTAAGCTGCTACATTTCATAACTGTACAGGAACCATGAAAAAATCAAGCGTACAGAAGAACAATGTTTATGAATTTGAATGACACGAATAGAAATGGTTGGGCATAGTTATTATCGAGAATCTCTAAACGTCGAATTCGTTTAGCTTGAGTTGGCCAGTCAAGATATTCAGACTTGAATTTATAGTCTCTTCCGGTGGTTAGCGAACTATGAAGCCTAGTGTACTACTAATTTTCCTTTTACATAATTCAGTTAGATACGAAACTAGAGTACGCAATGGTTCAGTTAGTGTTAGATATATTTCAGCCAAAAGTATCATTTAAATAACATTGGATTTTATAGTGAATACTGATTAAGTGGTTTTTGTCTAAAGAAAACAGATGTTTCCAGACAATTTCACCCGAATCAACTAAAAATATCATAATGTGTGGTTAGAAAAAGTTGGCAGGAAATTTTGGAATTATGTATTCCGTAAGTTATCGTGAGTGAAACGATGCCCTTTTTATGGTTCACTCACTGATATAATGAGAGATGCTACAACTGAGCTATCCTTTGAGAAAAATCATCTCTTGTATGACTGATATATCAGTAATAGATGATCCGTGAGTCATTTTGAGTGTCCGACTCCTACTGAATAAGTCGTAATTTGACCGCTAGACTAAATGGATATAACATTATACATGAGTTAGTTACCAATGAATAATTGGTCAAGATATGAACATTTCTAGTTAGTCACTTTTAACAGGTTGGAATTTATTAGTGAACTGGTGAAATAATTAAGAACGTACAAGTAGTCGGCAGGTTGAAATGATGATAAAAAAAAACCATTTTAATGTGGACCAAAAAATCTAAAACGCAACAGAAGTATAAATGTGTGAATAACATGATTTATTTTACTAAAGAGTGAACATAGTTGAACGTACTTAAAATGAGGATTGGACAAAGAAGTTAAATAAAATTACAATTCTTATTTTCTTGTTATCTGGTATACAATAAAAGAATACAATGGTTATAGAATCGACAGAAGTAAAAGTTTTTTTCAATAAAATGACATTCAAATACAAAGGTAAAATGAAGGGAAAACTGAAGCACAAGAGGATTTTTAAATACTTTCTTTGTATCACCAATGAATGTTTGAAATAAAATAAGTAGTTGTCATAATTTAGTTTGTCATGACCTACTTAAACATTAATAAAATGTAAGCATAAAAATTTACTATTTTCAAGAAAGGGGTTCATCTACTATGGAGATTTTAAAAGCTGAACAAAATACATAAAATTGCAGTCACAAATAGCTCTAGAAATAATAACTTTGCACATCATAAATTGTTAGCATCAAGCTTAATAGAAGCAACTGACAAGTTATCAGTCATACTGTCACCAATATTGTCCATGATGTTTTGAATATTTTCAATGCTAGAACGTAAAATATTAATTTCATGATGTTTGAGACGTTCACAATTTTTTCGAATTGGCGTTAACTGATTCCATTCAGGAGAATTCTAGAAAGTAATAGAATATCAAAAACTTTCAGCAAATACACCTACGTAGTGCATATAGTCACAGTGTGATTTGGTAATTAGGTATGATATATATATATATATATATATATAATGCATAAAGTCACTAACAGCTGGACCGAGTCATGTTGGCAGGTGTAGACTTGCTGGTTGGGGTCGGCGAGATGATAGTAATTGAGACCCTGACTGACATACAGTGGCACAGGTGTATCGATCCTTTGTCTTCTCTCGAATTCTAATCTCCTAAATTCATCATGACGTTTTATTCAATGTCTTTTTTTAAAATGATTCGTCTGGGATATACTTCTCAAATGATATCTTCAATCACTCAGTCAGTTGCTACGTAGAACTTCGTACGTATATACATAAGTTCATGTAGCCATATCACATTAGCACAGACACGCTAATGTCAAATCAAATCCCAAAGTGATAAAGATAGTAGAGGTATTAATGGTAATCAAGAAGACTAGGGTTTTAAGATATTATTCAAGAAGTACTATTCAGTGAGATAAGGTTGGAAGGACAAAGGTACAGTTGCTGACGAATCCGTAAGATTAGGATTTGAGAGAGCTCAAAGAATGGATGCACTTATGCCATTGCAAACGATTTTGAGCCATGTCGTTCAAGGTCTCTAACCATTGATGACTATCGTCTCGCGGCCCTTAACCAGATAGTCTACATCTACCAATATGACTCAGTGCTGGTATCACTGACTTCATGGAATTGTGCCATGTTTTAGTTTGGCCGCCCCTAGCTTTCTTCCAACCTACTCCTACACCACAAAACATAGATCGTCGAGGCAGTCGGTGGTTAGGCATACGTAACACATGTCTCAATAACCTCAACTGATGAAGTTTCAATACTTCATCGATTGATCTGCCATCCTTATCCAGTACGCTTTTTCTAACAACCGTATTGCTTACTCGGTTGTCCCAGGATATCCGAGCAATGCTTCGAATACACCTGTGATCGAATACCGGTAACCTATGAAATATGTTCTACTCTCACCGGCTAGAAGACGCATATCCTGCCTACGCTATAAGTGACGAAAGTTGGCGAAAACCAATGGAGCCTTCCGTATCCGAGCTGAGATTTCGTCAGTCACCAGGCCATCGGCATTGATGAGACTCCCAAGATAAGTGAAGCGATCAACACGCTCGACTACTTCACTCTCTATCACTAGTTCAGGTGCCGATGCAACCCAATCTTGAAGCAACATTTTGCATTTCGAGGGGGAAAACCGCATCCCGAACATGCTCGCATTGTTGCTTATGGTAGTCAGAAGACTCTGCATTTTGTCAGCGTCTTCACCGAATAGAACTATGTCATCGGCATATTCCAGATCAGTAAGCGATTTTCCTGGTAGAAGGTCAACCCCTGAAAAATCTGACGAGCTTAATGTTAACTCTAATAAGATGTCTACGACAAAGTTAAACAAGAATGGAGAGAGTGGACAGCCCTGACGGACACCACTTGATGTAGAGAATTCAGATGACAGTTCGCCATAAGCTCTCACTCGACCAGTAGTGTTCGAGTAGAGAGCTTGTATAAGGTTAATGTACTTCTTTGGTACACCTTTCAATGACAGGCACTGCCACAGAACCTCACGATCCACTGAGTCAAATGCCGCCTTGAGGTCCAGGAACACGACTATTGTCGGACGTCTAAATCTGTGTCTGTGTTCCAGGACCTGTCGTAGTGTGAAGATGTGGTCTATACAACCACGTTCAGGTTGAAAACCAGTCTGGTTTTCTCGAGTTTGCTCTTCACGAGCTCTGTTCGGGTGTCTAAGTATAATCGAGGCTAACAATTTAGAAACTACATTAGTTAGACTAATTCCCCTGTGATTGTCAAATAGGACTTTTGTCATTTCTTGTAAATTGGGACAATCAGGGATTGAGACCAGTCAGATGGGATTACGTCCAGTTCCGAGATTCTAACTAGGATCTCGGTCAGTCTAACTGTTAAAACTGGACCACCATCCTTAAATATCTCAGGGGTCAGTCTATCAGCACCGGCTGCTCTACATCGCTTCAGACTTCCTATAGCTTTCTCAACTTCATGTAGACTGGGAGGACTTAAAACTATTGGCCATTCAGGATGACTGGGGATCGTGGGCAACCGAAGTGTGGCTCGAGGCCAGTTGAACTGATCCCTAAAGTGTTCTGCCCATCGGTCCAGCCTCCTAGATTGAGAATGGATAATAAGACCATCCTTTTCCGAGATAGTCTCACTTACATTCGGGTTCCTAATACCGGTTTCTTTGATAAGGCGGAAAAGTTGTCTAGTGTTGCCTATCGCCGCTGCCTTTTCCATCGCTTTTGCTTTCGCCACCCACCACTGTTCACGGTCATTACGTAGGCTTTTTATCAGTGTGCGCCTATGCTGACTTCTCTCTTCGTCATGTTCAGAGCCAGGTGGGATGCGTTTTCGAGCATCCATCAGTTGGGTGGATGCTACAGAGATACACGGCTTCATTCTAGCCTTATGGTCAACCTTACTAGCAGATATCACTGCTGTTTCCACAGCCTTCTCGATATCATTCCAACCTGCCCCTGGATGGGAATCGCCTAAATGGTCGCCTAACTGTCTTTCTAGTTTCTCCTGGAATATTTTCTTAGTTTGATTATCATTAAGTAAAACCCTAAGAGGCTTCCTTACGGTATCTTTCCTACGTCCCGTAAGCCTCAAACAGATACGCGCTCGCACCAGGGCATGATCCGAATGTAAACATGTGCCCCACAACGAGCGACAGTCCTCTATCGAACCCCTCCATCGGTGGCTGATGGCGATATGATCTAGTTGTGTCCAACGTTGAGACGACTTTGGAGGTCGCCAGGTCAACAGATGCTTTACCTTATGCTTAAAATTAGTGTTTGTTAAGAATAGGCGGTTATCTGAGCACAGTTGCAACAGACGGTCGCCATTGTCTGTTCTTTGAGCCGCGACACCATAACATCCACCTAGGTGTCTCTCCTGCTCACTTAGTCTACCTATTTGAGCATTGAAGTCAGCAGCCATTATAACTATATCAGAGCGCTTAACTTTTTGGAGGAGGTCTGAAAGCTTTCTGTAAAAGTCATCTTTTACATCATCTGGACTGCAGTCAGTGGGGGCGTAGGCTGATATGACGAAGAGGCAACGACGAGTGTCCCTATCCTTTCGAATCCTTACTGTCACGTTTAGTCGAACAGCGCACAAACGACTATCTACAGGGATCCAGTCAAGGAGAGATTGTTCTGCCCTACGACTCAATTCTATGCCTACGCCAACAAGACCTCTGGAAGCAGCATCAGGACTACCGGATACACGAAGGGTAAATCGAGCTGCTTCTTTATCTTGACATGGTGAGGTCAAGTGAATGATACTACTCGGATCCTGTATGCGCGTTTCCGAGACGCAGCACACATCGACATTCTAAAGTCCTAGCTAATGATGCCTGTTGCCCTATTTGACACAGTGTCCGTACATTAAAAGCTCCAACATGTAGTATAGAACGGGGTTTCAGGAGACCAGGTACGACGTTTCGCAAACTCGCATCGTTTGCATTAGCTGTGCAGTGTGATAAAGGAATGTGAGAAGAGTTAGTTGTGGAGATAAGAGAGATATTAGGGAATGTAGGAAGGATTTGATTTTGAACAATTTTGTCTCGTGTGCTGTTGCGGGTATGAGGGCGGTTGTCACTTCCCGGCTGCCCACACCATGGAAGGTTGTTTCTAGAGGAACCCGAAAAGGAAGGTATATTAGCGTTGGTCTTAGAGACCTGGGTGCATGACCGCAGAGTCCAAGGGACAACTGCTTGAGGCCGGTCACGCACGGCCATTTTGTTAAATGTTTTTTGAGTATTAGCTCCGCTCTTAAAGGCCCATAGTGGGCACCTTTACCGCCGGAGACGGAAATCCGTGAAGTAGGATGAGGTGTGACATTTTTAGGGTCGACCTTTTCTAACCCTTCCTTCCTTGTGAGAAGGCAGAATCGCTGCAGATGCTGGTTGTCCGAGGGAAACACCTTACTGCTGTCACACCCCTCTGCAGTCAGCAGTACGACTTCGTCCTCAGACCTTGAGTAGCTGCTGCGTGGCATAATATCAAATTACCATATCAACAAGATAAAGGGTCAAAGGAATAATAAACATAGATCAATATATACGTCTTTAAATGTAATCGTAGTAATAGATGATGGGGAAAATTTAAAATGCAATAAAAATGTTGATGATCTACATCCGATTAACTAACATGTCTTCAAATATAAATCGAAGCGCACATTTATTAATTAGAAAAATAGATTTACAGAAAACCGAACAAACTAACCTCAGTAAGTAGTGTTCCATATGCAGTAATTAATAATTTTAGACGATTAATCATAAAATCAAATGCTTTGTATTCGTAGGCGATTTCTTTATTAAATTTTAAATTACCCAACTTAGATTTTATTAATGCACAATTCAATTTGGAATCTATTAGAGATTTATCAAGTTCATCTGTAATTTTAAAAAAAAAGATAAAACAAGAATATGTAAATTGACATAAAATGAGAAAAAACCGTTCACATTTTCTTATTACTGAGAATAATTTACTGGCAAATATTATTTTGATAAGAGAATGGATGATAGCACTAACCTTTGGTCATGGAAAAAATGCGTGAAAATATAAAGAATTCTGTCATGGATTCAATATCACCACGTAGATCACATTTCAATGGGCTAAAATTCAACAAATAAACGGAGTTTGAAAAAGTATTATTGTTGAATATATATCAAGCATGCTTTTTCGCTCGTGAATAAAAACATTAACAGTTTTTACGGAATTCTAGTGGGTTATTTATCAGCTTGACTATAAAAGATTTGGTAACAAAATTGAACTTTCACAAACGTACAATAAAACTCGGTAGGATGGCGGCATGAATAGGAGAAATCTGTGTAGTTCGGACAAACCTAGGATGCTTGTGTCTCTGAAAATGTGATCTATTTAAAGGATGGATAGGATATGTACGTTCTGAAACAGTTAGATTACATGTGAACCAATTGAAATGATGATCCATAAATGATTAATAGTACTTTGAAGTTGAAAGTAAGTTCATATTTTGTTTAAAACACCTCAAAACACTTTGCTCTGCAATCGTTCTTTAACTTTTATCCTAGTTGGAACGAGCCATGGAAGGCAAAGGTTTGATTGTCGCGATTATTTAAATAAATGAGAGTACTGCTTGGTCGTAAAAGTGCTGATAGCTTGTATGTGGGGCCATATGAAGGTCATATGTATGCAAAGAGCTGAGATAGCTATTAGGAGTATATGATGAGGGGCTTCCCGACCGAAGCTGCTACCTTGACGTGGTGGCCGGGCTTGACTATCGTGATGACCCAACCGAGCTATACTGGCTGGAACACATGTTCCTGCAGGTCCTACCATGCCAGGCAGGTCGATTGGAGAACGATGAGACTAAAAGCAGCTACCCAAGGTCTGAGGGCGAAGTCGTACTGCTGACTGCAGAGGGGTGTGACAGCAGTAAGGTGTTTCCCTCGGACAACCAGCATCTGCAGCCATGCTGCCTTCTCACAAGGAAGGAAGGGTTAGAAAAGGTCGGCCCTAAAAATGTCACACCTCCCCTACCTCACGGATTTCCGTCTCCTTGGGTAAGGGTGCCCACTAAGGGCCTTTAAGAACGGAGCTAATCCTCAAAAAACATTCCTTAAAAAGGCCGTGCGTGACCGGCCTCAAGCAGTTGTCTCTTGGACTCTGCGGTCACGCACCAACACTAATCCATCTTCCTTTTCAGGTTCGTCAAGAAACAACCTTCCACGGTGTGGGCAGCCGGGAAGTGATAACCGCCCTCATACCCGCAACAGCACACGAGACAAAATTGTTCAAAATCAAATCCTTCCTACATTCCCTAATATCTCTCTTATCTCCACAACTAACTCTTCTCACATTCATTTATTACAGTGCACAGCTAATGCAAACGATGCGAGTTTGCGAAACGTCGTTCCTGGTCTCCTTAAACCCAGTTCCAAACTACATGTTGGAGCATTCAATGTACGGACATTGTGTCAAATAGGGCAACAGGCGTCATTAGCTAGGACTTTAGAATCTCGTTCCATCGATGTGTGCTGCGTCTCGGACACGCGCATACAGGATCCGAGTAGCATCACTCATTTGACCTCACCATGTGTCAAGATAAAGAAGCAGCTCGATTTACCCTTGGTGTATCCGGTAGCCCTGATGCTGCTTCTACGGGCCTCGCCGGTGTAGGTATAGCATTGAGTCGTAGGGCAGAACAATCTCTCCTTGACTGGATCCCTGTAGATAGTCGCTTGTGCGCCGTCCGACGAAACGGGACAGTAAGGACTCGGAAAGATAGGGACACTCGCCGTTGCCTCTTCGTCATATCAGCCTACGCCCCCACTGACTGCAGCCCAGATGATGTAAAAGATGAGTTTTACAGAAAGCTTTCGGACCTCCTCCAAAACGTTAAGCGCTCTGATATAGTAATAATGGCTGCTGACTTCAATGCTCAAATAGGTAGACTAAGTGAGCAGGAGAGACACCTAGGTGGATGTTATGGTGTCGCGGCTCAAAGAACAGACAATGGCGACCGTCTGTTGCAACTGTGCTCAGATAACCGCCTATTCTTAGCAAACACTAATTTTAAGCATAAGGTAAAGCATCTGTTGACCTGGCGACCTCCAAAGTCGTCTCAACGTTGGACACAACTAGATCATATCGCCATCAGCCACCGATGGAGGGGTTCGATAGAGGACTGTCGCTCGTTCTGGGGCACATGTTTAGATTCAGATCATGCCCTAGTGCGAGCACGTATCTGTTTGAGGCTTACTGGACGTAGGAAAGGCGCCGTAAGGAAGCCTCTTAGGGCTTTACTTGATGATAATCAAACTAAGAAAATATTTCATGAGGAACTAGAAAAACAGTTAGGCGAGCATGCAAGTGATTCCCATCCTGAAGCAGGTTGGAATCATATCAAGAAGGCTGTGGAAACAGCAATGGTATCTGCTAGCAAGGTAAACCACAAGGCTAGGATGAAGCCGTGGATTTCAGTCGCATCCACCGAACTGATGGATGCTCGAAAACGCATCCCACCTGACTCTGAGCATGATGAAGAGCGTAGTCAGCTTAGGTGCAGACTTATAAAAAGTCTACGTAATGACCGCGAACAGTGGTGGGTGGCGAAAGCAAAAGCGATGGAAAAGGCAGCGGCGATAGGCAACACTAGACAACTTTTCCGCCTTATCAAAGAAACCGGTATTAGGAACCCGAATGTAAGTGAGACTATCTCGGAAAAGGATGGTCTTATTATCCATTCTCAATCTAGGAGGCTGGACCGATGGGCAGAACACTTTAGGGATCAGTTCAACTGGCCTCGAGCCACACTTCGGTTGCCCACGATCCCCAGTCATCCTGAATGGCCAATAGTTTTAAGTCCTCCCAGTCTACATGAAGTTGAGAAAGCTATAGGAAGTCTGAAGCGATGTAGAGCAGCCGGTGCTGATAGACTGACCCCTGAGATATTTAAGGATGGTGGTCCAGTTTTAACAGTTAGACTGACCGAGATCCTAGTTAGAATCTCGGAACTGGACGTAATCCCATCTGACTGGTCTCAATCCCTGATTGTCTCAATTTACAAGAAAGGACAAAAGTCCTCTTGTGACAATCACAGGGGAATAAGTCTAACTAATATAGTTTCTAAATTGTTAGCCTCGATTATACTTAGACGTCTAACTAGAGCTCGCGAAGAGCAGACTCGAGAAAACCAATCTGGTTTTCGACGTGGACGTGGTTGTATAGACCACATCTTCACACTCAGACAGGTCCTGGAACACAGACACAGATTTAGACGTCCGACAATAGTCGTGTTCCTGGACCTCAAGGCGGCATTTGACTCAGTGGATCGTGAGGTTCTGTGGCAGTGCCTGTCATTGAAAGGTGTACCAAAGAAGTACATTAACCTTATACAAGCTCTCTACTCGAACACCACTGGTCGGGTGAGAGCTTATGGCGAACTGTCATCTGAATTCTCTACATCAAGTGGTGTCCGTCAGGGATGTCCACTCTCTCCATTCTTGTTCAACTTTGTCGTAGACATCCTCTTAGAGTTAACATTAAGCTCGTCAGATTTTTCAGGGGTTGACCTTCTACCAGGAAAGTCGCTTACTGATCTAGAATATGCCGATGACATAGTTCTATTCGGTGAAGACGCTGACAAAATGCAGAGTCTTCTGACTACCATAAGCAACAATGCGAGCATGTTCGGGATGCGGTTTTCCCCCTCGAAATGCAAAATGTTGCTTCAAGATTGGGTTGCATCGGCACCTGAACTAGTGATAGAGAGTGAAGTAGTCGAGCGTGTTGATCACTTCACTTATCTGGGGAGTCTCATCAGTGCTGACGGTCTGGTGACTGACGAAATCTCAGCTCGGATACAGAAAGCTCGATTGGCTTTTGCCAACCTGCGTCACTTATGGCGTAGGCGTGATATCCGTTCGCTAACCAAAGGGCAGGTGTACTGCGCAGCAGTTCGTTCCGTTCTCTTATATGGCTGTGAAACATGGCCGTTAAGAGTAGAAGATGTTCGTAGGTTACTAGTGTTCGATCATAGATGTTTAAGAAGCATTGCTCGTATATCGTGGGACAGCCGAGTAAGCAATGCTGTCGTTAGGAAACGAGTACTAGGTAAGGTTGGCAGATCAATCGATGAAGTGGTGAAACTTCATCAGTTGAGGTGGTTGGGACATGTGTTACGTATGCCTAACCACCGACTGCCTCGACGAGCTATGTTTTGTGGTGTAGGAGTAGGTTGGAAGAAAGGTAGGGGCGGCCAGACCAAAACATGGCAGGAATGCATGAAGTCACTGACAAGTGGACTGAGTCATGTTGGTAGATGTAGACTACCTGGTTGGGGTCCGCGAGACGAAAGTCATCAATGGTTAGAGACCTTGAACGACATGGCTGAAAATCGTTTGCAATGGCGCAGGTGCATCCACTCTTTGAGCTCTCTCAAATCCTAATCTTCTGGATTAGCCAGCACCTCTAGCTTTCTCTTTCTAACCTTATCTCACTGAATTATATTTTTTGAATAATATCTTAAACCCTAGTCTTCTTTATTATAACATTAATACCTCTACAATCTTTATCACTATGGGATTTGATTTGACATTTGCGTCTCTGTGCTAATAATGTGGTATGGCAACATGAACTTATGTACATACGTACGAAGTTCTACGTTGCAACTGACTGACTGATGAGGGGCTTGGATAGACATAAGGTCAATCAAAAACCCAAACTTTTCTGGATGTCGTTGTAGTTCTCTACGGCTATCTACTAGGTTAGTACTTCTATCACTAAATATTACTTTTGATGTCCCTCTACAATTGATCAATCACGTAGGTGCTAAGATAGACACAGCTGTTGATAGAGTACAAACGTTTTTCAAATGTACTCCTTTTATATACTATAATATTATTGACATCAGTTTAAGGCATAGAGATGTACGACTTTGTATGTTAACGAAAGTGAGATTATCAATTTTTCTCAACCAACTTTGCCATTATTCTCAAAATATTGCAATATACTGAATCAGAGATCAAGAAATCAAACAACAGAAGTTAAACATACCGGTTGTCATACTCCAGACTATGAAGTGAAATGAGACTTTGATAAAGCTTAGTATAATAACAAGTTAGAATATATAGTCTTACACATAGGTATAATATATGACCAAGAATTAGGTATTACATTTTAAAAATACTTGACTTCATCGTAAAAAGATTATGATTCATGTTTGGAATCAAACAATAATAAATATGATCAACTAACTAATGAATTTACATCTTAGTTATAGCTTTCGCTGACCTCAATATTAGGTCAGTTGTTCTAGCTCTACTCTAAATACTTTAAATTAAAAAGTCTGAGAATATCACTAGCTATCAAACATAAAGTACATTTTAAAGCTGAATGCAGAAATCTACACTTAATGAATTTCAAACATTCGAATGATTTTCTAGGATTGACAATGAAATCTGACTCTCTACATCATTGATGTAGTCCATTTTTAACGATGGGTTTATCGAACTCTCGTAATCCGACATTTATAAGACTTTTGATCTAAATTAACATACAATGGTTCTTCAAAGTATGGTAATAAGATTTATTTATATTATGCATAGAATCCAACTCAAATAGAGACAGTTATGAAGGGAATTCGGTTAGAATTAATGGTAAAACTATCTTTCCATAGGGATAAGAAAATTATTTGAACTACCGAAAATACAGATAAAAATATCATATAATTAAATAGTTTTCTTTTTTCAGTCTGCTTGGTTTAATTCACATTTTATTTTTTAAGACAGTTTAAGTTACTGATTTCAGTAGTTGAAGGTAAATTAAAAAATTAATCTACAGGACTATGTAGAATACAACAAAAACCTTGGTTTATATAACTTACACATTTAAGCCAAAAGATTGTAATAGATCTTTACGTGTTAATGCCAAAGAATCGGAGGAACTGATACCTTGAAAAAGAGAATATGTCATAATAATGGATAATACAGAAGATTGAAGGAAAGAAAGTAGTACATTGAACTTCATTATGACACCATACAACATTAAGATCTATATGAATAAGGTAAAAATGTATGTATCTTTCTGTAAAATAAAGTATTTACAGTCAAATATATTTTTAATAGTAACTTCATATAGCTATCAAATATTAAAGGAAAGATTTGGAAACTATTATGAAACATTTTTTGACTCGAATAACATCAATACTTTGCATAAACTAAATCTTCAGTTCTCGATCTATTAAATCTGAGCGAATTATGGTGAATTTTGAGCTAATTCTACGTACACAATACTAATAACTGAGACTTGTAGACCATGATAAGGATGATTAATATGATTCACAATATGGGGCTACAGTGATTCAGTATTTTATAAGGTTATGTTTAGAGTCGTTGTTAGTGCAAGATATATTCACTTATATTAGCTTTATATCTTTAGTACTTAACAAAACATTTCATCGTCGTCTTTTATTTTTTCAGTACATTATATTGAACAGTATCACAAAAAAGGAGAACAGATGTAAACTATTTAACAACAGAAATTCTTTGTAATGAATTATGTACAGGTTCATGTACCGAACTATGAGTAACACCTAAGGTGTAAGGGTTAGTAATACTATTAGGCTATCCAACTTAAAGTAGGGTGATTTGCAGTTAAAATCTTTAGCCCCTAGTCCACTGCATTCATTATAATTGAATATCAATGGGATAATATGTAGTTCTCCGATTTACTTTATCATATTAACATAGGACATGAATTGATGCAAACGCAGTTGGTAGAAGGTAGTATGTACACACAAAAATAATAATTACATCTACTACATAGCATGAATAAATAAAACTGACAGGTCAGAATTAAAACTTGCCTAGTGATATTGTCAATTTGTTATTCGGATTGATTTGAGGTACAAAACCTGAGAACATGAAAAATTCATCATTTGAACGATTTCCATAATCTATAAATATCTTATCGGGTAACCGTGAAGTGAAAAAAAACAAAGGGATGAATGAAATTTTCCTTACAAATTCATATAAATGCGAACACAAAATACATAAATCAACATTGAGGATTGGCATATGATTTTTAATAAGAAAATTTTTCAGTAAGGTAATAATTTCGTGATATGACGAAAACATATGAAGTCAAAGCGTGAGTAATCTTGTTTTGTGTAATAAATCATTCGGTTTCAAAAAGAATCCTGAGAAAGTTTATTCTCATGTTGTCCATATTCGGCTATCCAAAACTTGAAGAACATAGATAATCTTCAGTTGAGTAGTTTTAATATCTATTTTGTAACTGTTGCACAGCAAATAAATTCAACTTATCTACCCTAACAAGTTCGAAATTAATTAGTGAATTGGTGTTTGGCAATAAGTTGGTGGTCTGAGCAATTTACTTCTGACCACTGGGTCGTAAATATGAATGACGATTTACTTAATTCGATTTGCGAGAATGGATATAGTATCACTAGTTCTAACTGGCTTTTGTCAACTTGTGTCACTTATGGCATAGGCGAGATATCCGTCTACCAACCAAAGGACGGGTTTACTGTGCAACAGTTGGTTCCGTCCTACGTCATGACTGTGAAATATGGCAGGTGAGAATAGAGGATATTCATAGGGTATTAGTGCTCAGTCATCGGTGTCTTCGATTCATTGATAGTATATCCTGGGACAATCGAGTAAGCAAGGCAGTTGTTAGAAAAAGCGTACTAGATAAGGATGGCAGATCAATAGATGGAGCATTGAAACTTCATCAGTTGAGGTGATTGAGACATGTGTTACGTATACCTAACCACCGACTGCCTCGACGAGCTATGTCTTGTGGTGTAGGAATAAGTTGGAAGAAAGCTAGTTGCGGCCAAACTAAAACATGGCACAAATCCATGAAGTCATTGACAACAGCACTGAGTCATATTGGTAGATTGAGACTATGTGGTTGGGGTCGGTGAGACGATGACATGGCTAAAATCGTTTACATTAGCGCAGGTGCATCCGCTTTTTGTGTTCTCCCAAATTCTAATCTTAACTCCCTCATGACCTTCATCTTCCTCGTCTCAGTCAGTCAGTTACAATGTAGAACTTCGTACGTACACACATCAGTTCAGGTTGCCATACCACGTCAGCAAAGAGATGCAACTGTCGCTTCAAATCCCATAGTAGTAGAGGTAGTAGAAATATTAGGAGTAATCGGAAAGATTAGGGTTCGACGATATTATTCAAAAAGTAGAATCTACTGAAATAAACTTACAAAGAAAAAGATGAAGGTGATGAGCAGTTCCAGAGGTTAGGATTTTAGAGAACACAAAGAATGAATGAACCTGCACCATTTCGAACGATTTCAAGCCGTCGTTCATGGTCTCTAAGCCTCGGTTGCTATCATCTCGCAGACCCCGACCAGGAAGTTTACATCTACCAACATGACTCAATCCACTCGTCAGTGACTTTATGGATTTGGTTTTGCAGCCCTTAGCTTTCTTTCAACCTATTCCTGCATGGTAAAACATAGCTTGACGAAGCAGTCGGTGGTCAGGCATACGCAACACTTTCTCGTCTCAAATCCATTTAACTGGATTATACTTCTTGAGTAATATCTTCGGATCGTGATCTTTCCGATTACTGCCTATACTTCTCCTACCTCTACCACATTAGAGTTTGAATGGACGACTGCATCTCTGTGCTACCGTCGTATGGCAACTTTAACTGATGTACGTACGTACATACGAAGTTTTACGTTGTAGTTGATTGACTAACTGACTTTTTCATTGTCTAATACCTAAAAATTTAATGAGGCTATTATCAGACAGGTAATTCTCTAGTCTTATTAAGCTATAAAACGACAGTTCAACAATAAAAATAAGTTTACCTGATCACCAGGTTTGTATGCCTCCATTGTACAGAATACTAATTCATCTACTTCAGCATCATAGTGTGTTGTAACCTAAATATGAAAAATAAGGACAACACAAGTCTGTACACAAAACGCATATGAATACACTGAGAAATATCAGTAATCACAAGCAAAACTCATCTTAAAGCAGACCATAGATAAACATATCATCCAGTACAAAAATGAATTGATTTAAGTTAACACTGATAACTTCAGGAAATTTGTAGACATAAGCATGACATTAGAATACACAAATTCGAATTATAGGTAGACTAGCTCAACAAAGACAAAGGACACGACTTGCTAACGATTACTGGCTAGTTCAAAACCTATGATTAGACGTTTCCGCAAATTATCTCCAACTAACAAGGATATGGGTAAAATGAGAATATCGAATGACAGGATCTAAAAGGATTTACGAAAGATAAAGTTTGAATATAGTTGCGTTAAAATAATGTTTTAAAACGAGTAAAAAATTTGATAAAAGTATGAGTTTATTATCAAATGTCATTAAGTTTCTTTTTACAAAATAATAACTAACAGGAAAGAAGGATATTGATGGCTTACAAACATGAAGTGGAAAATGTTTTTTGACAACACATGGCAATTAAATGAATAATTCTTTAAATGGAAACTGTTGTCAAGTTAGGTAGAGGATAACTAATACAATATCCAGTAAAACCATTACCACGACCGACGCAATACAACACTTATCATTCGAACCAAAATGAATTACAAACTAAATATAATGGGTAGGAGATGGTTGAAAGCGTCTCACAGAATTAATGCTGAGGGAGTTGGAATTTGAAAATAAATTTCACCTTGTAATCATGAATGAATCGTTGTTAGACCACCATAAGAAACCTGAGAGCATTGGACGGCTGTTTCTTCCTAGTGTAGGACTCATTGGTAGTGCGCAACCATGACTCCTGCAACTCTCAGGATTCGAACCCAGGAACTTCGGTCTTGTCCGAGAACGCCTAACCTCCGGAACACTGGGCCAACATCTAACGGTGTTAATATCTAACTCTGATCAACCCAAGGATTTTGCGCAACCTCACCCATTGTCTCCAGTAGTTACTGCAAAATCAAAATAAATTTTTACACTATATATCGGGAAATTTCCCTATGCATTCTGAGATGCATGTTGGTTAAATCAATGATCAGCTAATCGTTCATCACGTGCTTACAGTGACCGGAGTGATAATTATTACTCTGTACTTCATACAGCGATGCATAAACATATGAGCCATTATATCAATACATTTTCTCATTATAATAGAGATTGATTATCATGATGAATATAAAAGTAATAAACATGGATATGAAGCGAGAGTTACTCAGGAAAAACGTCATTTTAATATTACATTGTGAAATCAGTAAGTACTTTGAAAATATGCATTTTAATAGCGACAAAATGTATTAGAGAAAACTTTACGAGTAATTAGACAACATATCTAAGTTCAGAGAATAAAATGATGGAATCCTTTTAATGACATATTGGAATGGAATAAAATAGATCTATCAGTATTGGGATTAAATTTAGCAAATATTTCAACTTTTATCAGCATATCACTGAACTGTAATTTATATGTAAAGACGGTTACCTTGCACGTTACTGTACGCCCAACTGGAAGCACAAAACACAATACCTTTAAGTGTGCTTTCTCTGCGACTTGGGTGCTGGTTCATTCGTGACAACTACAGTATGCGTTAAACAGACAAGGGACTTATTACTTACTATATAAAATTACACTCTATTACTTCCTTTTTTACTCATTAACATCGAAAATTGTTTTTAGCTTACTTACATGACCGGATTTGTGATTTAACATGTCCCAAGCTGGGATGAGACACATAATTCTATCTGTTCCATTAGAATGTGGTATATAGTTGCTTCTACTCATTACTGTTGATACAGCCCACCTGAGTTCAAAATGAAACATCATTAAGTAATTAGGATAGAGATGGAACAACAATAAAAGTTTGGAAAATAGTATCGTCGCAAGGCATGAAGTATAGTTTTGATAGGACATGGATTTAAATCTGTAGGTAACACCGTTGATAACTAGTTAATTAGATCGTAAAGATTCGAATGTACCTACAAAAAGAATTTCATCACTAACACAAGCGCAGAGAACGATTAACTATTTGAATGAAAAACAGCTGGTAAGTAAAATGCTAGAGTAGGGAACACTGAATCCACAATGAATACATAAGTCAGGAAAAGAAAACTGTCGTACTAGTCACAATGTTTTAAAACATCATTACATTGGGGTCAAATGTCATACCCTTAATTAGATAAATTCAATATTTCTACCACCGATATAACTAAAGCCTCAGTATTTCTGTAAACGTTTTCATAATTTGCTTTCTCTGAGCTGATGTGGTTTTGGAGTCTGGGTAAGTGTACAGATAGGCCAAGTTCTACTTCTTCTATGACTAAGAAACTTCCTGAATATATATTCGTCATATCTGCCTATGCCCCCACTGACTGCAGTGCAGACGAGGTTAAAGATGAGTTTTACAGAAAGCTTTCGGACCTCCTCCAAAAAGCTAGGCGCTCTGATATAGTAATAATGGCTGCTGACTTTAATGCTCAAGTAGGTAGACTAGGTGAAAAGGAAAGACATCTTGGTGGATGTTATGGTGTAGCAACTGAGAGAACAGACAAAGGCGACCGTCTGTTGCAACTATGCTCAGATAACCGCCTATTCTTAGCGAACATCAACTTTAGGCATAAGGAAAAGCATCTGTTGACCTGGCGACCGCCGAAGTCGTCTCAACGTTGGACTCAACTAGATCACATCGCCATCAGCCACCGATGGAGGGGTTCGATAGAAGACTGTCGCTCGTTGTGGGGCACATGTTTGGATTCAGATCATGCCCTAGTGCGAGCTCGTACCTCCTTAAGGCTTACTGGACGTAGGAAAGACACCGTAAGAAAGCCTCTTAGGGTTTTACTTAATGATAATCAAACTAAGAAAATATTTCATGAGCAACTAGAAAGAGAGTTAAGCAACTATGCAAGCGATTCCCATCCAGAAGCAGGTTGGTATGATATCAAAAAGGCTGTGGAAACAGCAGTGATATCTGCTAGTAAGGTAAACTATGAGGCTAGGATGAAGCCGTGGATTTCAGTCGCATCCACCGAACTGATGGATGCTCGAAAACGCATCCCACCTGACTCTGAGCATGATGAAGAGCGTAGTCAGCTTAGGTGCAGACTTATAAAAAGTCTGCGTAACGACCGCGAACAGTGGTGGGTGGCGAAAGCAAAAGCGATGGAAAAGGAAGCGGCGATAGGCAACACTAGACAACTTTTCCGCCTTATTAAAGAAACTGGTATTAGGAACCCGAATGTAAGTGAGACTATCTCGGAAAAGGATGGTCTTATTATCCATTCTCAATCCAGGAGACTGGATCGATGGGCAGAACACTTTAGGGACCAGTTCAACTGGCCACGAGCCACTCTTCGGTTACCCACGACCTCCAGTCATCCTGAATGGCAAATCGACGTAAGTCCACCTAGTCTTAATGACGTAGAGAAAGCGTTAGGAAATCTGAAACGAGGACGAGCTGCAGGTCCTGATAGACTGACCCCTGAGATATTTAAAGATGGTGGTCCAGTTTTAGAAGCTAGGTTGACTGAGATCTTAGGTAGAATCTGGGAACTGGACGTAATCCCATCCGACTGGTCTCAATCACTGATTGTCCCAATCTATAAGAAAGGACAAAAGTCTTCTTGTGACAATCACAGGGGAATCAGTCTAACCAATATAGTATCTAAAATATTCGCCTCAGTAATACTTCGACGCTTGACGAAAGCTCGTGAAGAGCAAACTCGAGAAAACCAATCTGGTATTCGACGTGGACGTGGTTGTATAGACCACGTCTTCACACTCAGACAGGTCCTGGAACAGACACACATTTAGGCGTCCTACAATAGTTGTTTTCCTGGACCTTAAGGCGGCATTTGACTCTGTGGATCGTGAGGTTCTGTGGCAGTGCCTGTCATTGAAAGGTGTACCAAAGAAGTACATTAACCTTATACAAGCTCTTTACTCGAACACCACTGGTCGAGTGAGAGCTTATGGCGAACTGTCTCTACATCAAGTAGTGTCCGTCAGGGATGTCCACTTTCTCCATTCTTGTTTAATTTTATCATAGACATGCTCCTAGACATAACATTATCCTCGTCTGAATTTTCAGGAGTAGAACTTCTACCAGGTGGTTCGCTTATTGACTTAGAATATGCCGATGACATAGTCCCACTTGGTGAAGACGCTGACAAAATGCAGAGTCTTCTGACTACCCTAAGCAACAATGCGAGCATGTTCGGGATGCGGTTTTCCCCCTCGAAATGCAAAATGTTGCTTCAAGACTGGGTTGCATCGACACCTGAACTAGTGATAGGGAGTGAAGTAGTCGAGCGTGTAGACCGCTTCACTTAACTTGGGAGTCTCATCAGTGCTGATGGCCTGGTGACTGACGAAATCTCAGCTCGGATACAGAAGGCTCGATTAGCTTTTGCCAACCTGCGTCACTTATGGCGTAGGCGTGATATCCGTTCTCTAATCAAAGGACGAGTGTACTGTGCAGCAGTTCGCTCCGTTCTCCTATATGGCTGTGAAACATGGCCAGTGAGAGTAGAAGATATTCATAGGTTACTGGTTTTCGATCATAGGTGTCTTCGAAGCATTGTTCGTATACCGTGGGACAACCGAGTGAGGAATGCTGTTATTAGGAATCGGGTGATAGGTAAGAATGGCAGATCAATAGATGAAGTAATGAAACTTCATCAGTTGAGGTGGTTGGGACATGTTTTGCGTATGCTCAACCGCCGACTGCCACGTCGAGCTTTGTTTTGTAGTGTAGGAATAGGTTGGAAGAAAGTTAGGGGCGGCCAGACCAAAACATGGCAGAAATCCATGAAGTCATTGACGAGTGGACTTAGCCATGTCGGTAATTGTCGACTACCTGGTTGGGGTCCGCAAGATGATAATAATCGATGGTTAGAGACCTTGAATGACATGGCTCAAAATCGTTCGCAATGGCGCCAGTGCATTTATTCGTTGAGCTCTCTCAAATCCTAATCTTCCGAGTTCTTCAACCCCTCTAGTTTCGACTCTCTAAACTTTTCTCACTGAATCATACTTCTTGAATAGTATCTTCTAATCCTAACCTCTCTGATTACTTCTAATTCCCTTACTACCTCTTCTACTATTGGATTTGAATTGACGATTACTTCTCTGTGCTGATGTGGTATGGCAACATGAACTGATGTACTTATGTAGAAAGTTCAACGTTGCATCTGACTGACTGAATATATATTCAATAAAGAAATTTGGAAATATCCTATATAGAAAATATAAAAAATAGTTCTAAACAACAGCCAATGTGCCTTTAGCAGATAGAAATACATTTGGCTACATAAATGTTAAAGAGAATTTCTATAACCATTAAGTTATATATAACATTAGTTTCAAATTCATGCTTGAATCCAAACGATAAAAAAATCAGGAAATCAACGCAGATAAACGTAGGTTGAAAGAAAATCTGGTCAAATTGCATCAGTCAGTTACAACATAAAACTTCGTACGTACGTATGTACATCAGTTCAGGTTGCCATAGTGCATTAGCACAGAGACGCAACTGTCAGTTTAAATCCAATGGTGGTAGAGAGTAGAAGTATCAGCAGTAATGGAGAAGATTAGGGAGCGAAGATATTACTCGAGAAGTGTAAAATCATTATTCTATCAATAAATAAAACAATTATTTGATACAGATAAACCTTTTTTTATTACATTAAACATAGTTGCAGGTTTAAATATCAGAAAAATTTACTTCATCATATTACAAACCCAATAGGATGAATTTAACTAGTGTTCAAGTAATAGATAATATAGTTTTAATTATCATTTAGTAATCGATGAACGTTAACAAATCTCAGCTGTACAGAAAACTACTTGCGGTTTGAATGACTTAATGATTGAACCTTTAAGTCATCAGTCAGTCAGTTGCAACGTAGAACTTCGTACGTAAGTACATCAGTTCATGTTGCCATACCACATTAGCACAGAGACGCAACTGTCAATTCAAATCCCATATTGGTAGAGATAGTAGAATTACTACTAATGGAGATTAGGATTTGAAGATAATATTCAAGGAGTATAATTCAATGAGACAAATTTAGAAAGAGAAAAATAGAGATGATGAGGAATTCAGGTTAGGATTTGAGAGGACACAAGGAGTGGATGCACTTGCGCCACTGAAAACGATTTTGAGCCATATCGTTAAAGGTCTATGACCATTGGTGACCTTCGTCTCGCGGACCCCAACCAGGTAGCCTACATCTACCAACATGACTCAGTCCACTTGTTAGTGACTTCATGGCTTTGTACCATGTTTTGGACTGGCCGCCGAATTATCGTGGAGGATTTGCATTATTATATACCTGCCTAAATTTTAATGTGGTGACTGATGGCAATCTGAACTAGTTGGGTCCATCGTTGGGTTGACTTTGGAGATCATCATGTAAAAAGATGTTTTTCCTTATTCCTAAAGTTAGTATTTGCTAGGAATAGGCGATTATCTGAGCATGGTTGAAGGAGACGACCTTCATTATCTGATATTTCAGCCACGGCATCATGATATACACTCAGGTGTCTTTCTGTTTCGCTTAGTCTACCTACTTGAGCATTAAAGTCACTCGCCACTATTACCATATCAGATCATTCAACTTTTAAAAGGTTGGAACACTCACTCCAAAACTCATCTTTTACCTCACCTGAGCTGCAGTCAGTGGGAGCGTAGGCATATACGACGAAGAGGCAACGGCGAGTGTCCCTATGATTCCGAGCCCTTACTGTCCCGTTTAGTTGGACAGTGCGCAAGCGACTATTTGCTGTGACCTAGTCTAGGAGAGCTAGTTTTACCCTAGGTCTCAATGCTATACCTACGCCAGCGAGACCCCGGGAAGCAGTATCAGGGCTTCCAGATGCACGAAGAGTAAATCGAGCTGCTGCCTTATCTTGACAACGTGAAATCAAATTATTGATTTTACTAGGATCCAGTATGCGCGTTTCGGAGACGCAGCATACATAGATGGCGCGAGATTCTAAAGTCGTAGCTAAGGTAGCCTGTTGCCCTATTAGACACAATGTTCGGATATTAAAAGCTCCCATATGTAGTTTAAAACGCGGTTTCAGGAGACACAGAATAACGCTTCGTGAACTCAAATCGTTTGTGAGAAGGGTTAATCCTAGAGATAAGAGGTGTTAGGGAGTTTAGGAGGGATTCGATAATGACCAATTATGTCTCGTGTGCCGTTACGAGTATGAGAGTAGATGTCACTTCTCAGGTGTCCACATCGTGGAAGGGTGGTTCCTAACGAACCTGAAAAGGAATTCAGGTTAGAATTGGCCTTAAAGACCTGGAAGCGTGACCGCAGAGGCCAAGTGACAACTGCTTCACTTATTTTGAGGGGCTCATCAGCACTAATGGCCTAGTGACTGACGAAATCTCAGCACGGATACACAAGGCTCGTTTAAGTCCATCTTCGTAAGGTTAGTACTTCGAACCTATCACCAATTTAGTCACCCGTCTCTGCACTCGATCCAAGAGATTTCTGTCTAATCAGCGCTAATGGCTCGGTGTCTGACGAAATCTCAGTGCAGATGCAGAAGGCTCGATTGGCTTTAGCCGACTTGCGCCACTTACATCATAAGCGAGATATACGTCTACCAACCAAAGGACGGGTTTACTGAGCAACAGTTGGTTCCGTCCTACTTTATGGAACCGAAACATGGCCAGTATTATTTGAGAATGTTCGTAGGTTACTATTTTTCAATCATAGGTGTCTCCAAAGCATTGCTCGTGTATCCTGGGACAACCGTGTGAGCAATGCAGTTGTCAGGAAACAAATACTAGGTAAGGATGGCATATCAATTGAAACTTCGTCAGTTGGGGTGATTGAGACATGTGTTACGAATGCCTAACCACCGACTGCCTCGACAAGCTGTTTTGTGATGTATGAGTAGGTTGGAAGAAAGCTAGTTGCGGCCAAACTAAAACATGGCACAAATCCATGAAGTCATTGACAACTGGACTGAGCCATGTTGGTAGGTTTAGACTACCAAGTTGGTATTCGCGAGATGATAGTAACCGACGGTTAGAGACCTAGAATGATATGGCTCAAAATCATTTACATTAGCGCAAGTGCATCCATTATTTGGCTTCTCTCAAATCCTAATCTTCTGAATTCGTCATAACCTTTTATTTTTTTCTTTAGAAACTTACTGCACTGGATTATACTTCTCAAATAACAGTGTCGAACCCTAAAATTTCCGATTGCTGTTAAGACTTCTACATCTACTAATATGGGATTTGAATCGAAAATTCGGTCTCTGTATTCTGATTTGGTATAGCAAACTGAAATAACGTACGTTGTAACTGACTGATTGACTGATTAAAATGGTAAATAAATATCTATCTAATTAAGCATTAAGATCACTGACCTATAATCATCAAAACAAAAAATGAAACCTGAGATGTTTAGTGCTTTTGGGCTTTCATTGAAGCGGCGACAAAAGTAGGCGTATTGACGACATATGAATAGGTAGTTGGAAGCAATTTTCTCTGAACAGTGAAATCAAATGCGATCACTTAACTTACCTATAATTGGTGAGCCCTTCAAAAAACGGATATCTGTATCGTTCATGTACAGAAATGTACAGTAATCAGAAGGTAATGTATCTGTACTTTGTAAAAATGAAACACCTTACTTATATAAGTTTGCCACACTGATTCATCTCCTTGGTACAGTTCACCCAACAAAAGCAAACAAAGAGCAACGTTCTCCATACCTGACGCCAAAGCATCCTGTAGTACGAAGTCTCCTGACAGATAAATTACTGAAGGATCGAACATACTCAGACAAGTAGATGAATTTTCTAGACATAACATGGCTTGCCTAGGCAATCTCATTAATGGTTGACCATCCTAAAGGCATAAGAATTTTCAAGTATTACCCTAATAGAAACGGAAGCCCTGAGTCCAAATCCATAATCCTCGAACCAATGAACCGTAAAATAGTTAGAGGAGAGAATATCCTCTAAGTCTTTCTTCCTACTCTCACGGGACTTCGTCAATTTGGTCACATAACTATGACCTGAAAATGACTTGTTTACTGGTACTATTTACCCCTCTGGATGGAAATAAGTTCAGAAGTCAGACAATGCAACGATTTTAGGATCGATAATGCATTAACAGCGGTTATTGTCGACGTTAAGCAAACTTGAGTAATCAGAAAATACCCTTACTTTCCATAAGCTTTTCAGCAAGCACTGATGTTTTCTTAAGCACCTGACAATAAGTCCTATCAGGTCCATTTGTCGTATGCATTTCGGCAATTAGGACCAAAGCAACGCATAGATTATATCCTCGCGCACAATCCACTATCCAATATCTTTTTCACAAGCTAGTATAAACCAATTCAGTATCCAATATCTTTTTCACGAGCTAGTGTAAACCAATTTGATTTCTTCATGCTCGATTCTTGTTCTTTCAGTGCGGTTCCAGGTTTTCGGTAATGTCCAATGGATGGAGGTCTAGCCACTCGACTGTCTAATTCCAGTCAGTTGGCAGTTGGTTGTGAGTTAGTATGTCTCGGGATTTGAATGAAACGTTTGTTTCATGGCAGTAGGGTTTCTGGATACTAGCAGTCGTCACATTACCAAATCAGAGACCAGTTAGATGCAATGTGGAGAGTAATAAGGGTAATAAGGATAGAACTCTAATTATAATATGAATAAAATTTCAGAACTGAGTAATATATAAATGAATTTAGTTTGTTAATTGATAGTGAGGATTGTGAGAGAGGACCGAAGTGTAAGCAAGGGAGAGGAAACAGAGATAATAGGCGATACTGATTACCAACTAGCAGGTCTCAAGATATGCATCATGAACAGCTTGTCAAAGAGGGAGATGATAGTCCGTATGTGAGTACGTGATTATAAAGTCTCTTCATAAAACAGTCTACTGATGGGGCTGTGATTACCTTGGCTGGGAGAGCATTCCGAGTTGCGACGACTCACAATGAGAAAAAGTGTGCACGAATCTGAGTATTCGCTCTTTGATGTGCATTTTTTCGAGGATTGCCTCGAGGGGAGTGGTGGTAATGCATCGGTAAGATGCTCACATTGGGATGGTTTGGCGTGTTTAATATGGTGTACACCATAATCAGATCGCCTTTGATTCTCCTGTAGCTCAGTGGAAATAATTCCAAGAGCTGGAGTCTATCGTCGTAGGGTTTATTTTTCAACCCTATCACCCATTTGGTTGCTCGTCTCTGAACTCGGTTGAAGAGATTTATGTCTCTTTTAAGCAGAGGAGGTACGATGACGTTGTGAACCTCCAAGTGTGGGCGCGCGTACGTCTTAAACAGGGTTAAAAATAATTCCGGGGTGACAGCACCAAGCTGTATTCGCATAAAGTGAAGAGTCGCATTTGCCTGGGCTGCATCCCCTACATAGTTTGGACTGGTGTGGAGGCTTACTGTGGTTATTAAACCAAGATCGCGCTCTGAGGAGACATTAGGGAGCAGACTTCCACTGAGGGTATAGGTCGTTTGCATCATATGAGGCAGGAAATGCATGACGTGGCACTTCGGTTGGTTGAGTTTTAAACCGTTTTTCACTGCCCATTTCTCAATAGATGTAAGGTCCGTTTGAAGCTCAGTCGAATCCTCTTCGCTTCTAATGAACCTCCAGATCTTCGCTTCGTCTGTCTAGATCAATGCCTGTGAGCTAATTGTGCCTAGCAGGTCGTTAATAAATATCAGGAAGAGGAGTGGGCCTAGGATGGTCCATTGTGAATGTCCTGATGTGGATACTCGCCAACTCGCGTGCACTCTGTTTACATTGGTGCGAAACTTTCTATTCTCAGAGTAGTTTCTGAGCCAAGATAGGAGTGGGTCAGTGAAGCCCATTTCCGCAACATTTGCGATTAGGCGTGCGTGGGGTATTGTGTCGAAAGCTTTTGCAAAGTCGAGAAATATTACGTGCACCGGTATTTTTCGTTTCAGGCACGATGCTCAACTGTCCCATGATATTAGAAGATTGGATGCGCACGATTTGCCTTTCCGAAACCCATGTTGAGCATCATGGAGTATTTTATTCTTTTCCATGTACTCCCTCATTTGTTCGTCCACTAGCCCTTCCATAACTTTTGATAATATTGGTAGTAGTGCGACTGGTCTGTAACAGGCTGGGTCCTTTCTATCTCCTCTTTTGAAGATTGGAGAGAGTAGCTTGTTTCCATTCAGCTGAGAGTTGGTGTGACTCCAGAGAATAAAGAACAAGTTACAAGTTACATATGGGTGAACAGAGGGCTTCTGCACGTTGTTTCATTACTATGGGGCGAAAATTGTCACAACTTGTTGACTTTCATGGGCTTAAGGATTTTAGTTGCCTTAATACTAAGTCAGGAGTGATACGGATACTTCCTAAGTCGTCAGCTGGCATCGTGTTTGTGTAGTACTCTTGTAGAACCTCACATATATTTCGTACAATCATCATTGTTGAGCTTGAATGCACATGTATGCTTGGGCATTACTTACCACCTACGCATATAGTTATTTGTCTAGCTTTATCGATTAACTGTTTAAATACCTCAATAGAAATTTTCGACTATATATATTCGTATTGAATCCGATATTTGTATCAATCATTACCATATTTTGAATAGTAAAGAAACTGTGGCAACGACTCGCATTCTTGAGTGACGGTCGTCAAGACGGAGATATACGGAATTTCGAAGGTAAAGAAAGTCCGACGCCACATTCTGAACATATGGATGCCTGGTTTAACTGATCAGTGATGTTTATGTTGAAGATTTCAGCCATCTCTAGGTTGGTGAGATCTTCCGCATTCGCATCTTTGGGAGAACGCAAACCCTGATTCGTAGGTCTTATTTTGATATGAATATTATTAAAAATTTATTCTCAAATAATGACATGTTACAAGAGGCATGCCACTTTACAGGCAAGATCATAATGTTAAAATTGCTAACAGATTTTCTGTAATAGGTTGTTCACATACTCATATATTCCATATGTTACACTGGCTTCATATTGATGGCTAAAATTTTCTAAATAAAATTATAGATAATTTCTCAGACTGTGCAGTGTACAATTCGAAAAATTGGCTTAAGTTACGAAGTTTGCGTTATGACGTACAGCTAGTGGCTGCGAAACAATGCAAGGCAAAGCCAGGTCTGCATATAACAAGAATAGATAAGGTAAATGTGCAAAGACCTTGTTGATATTAGTGAGATAATAAATTTACAGGTTCCTGGGTAAACTAACCAAGTCTTCAGTAAATAACCAGACTAATATTTACAGATTAGAATAAAGTGCTGAAAAAGAGAAATTACGCGAAAGAGGCGAGAAGCTGAACAGAAAAATTTTCTTTTAAAAGCCGAAAAATGACTCAGTTGATGCGTTTTTTGGATAAAACAAAGGCTTTCGCAACACCTAATATGGTCAGAAAGGTCATTCCTCGAACTGTACCAAGCTTGAAAGGCCTCATTCAGGTCTTCACGATTCCTGGATTCTACAGCTATCAGTCGTGGTGACCAAATGGACGTGAGGTATGACAGGCGAGGCAGCCTAGAAATGCAAATCGTCATCGTGGTTTGAAGGCATAGCAACGTGATAGCCATCGTCAGTTTCGCACATCATGCACGTCAGCTTCATCCAGGCTAACACCATCCAGTTTGGGCACGCCGTGAACTACCATACTGGTCTGCTCTTGGGCGCCTAGTGTAGTCCTGGTTGCCTCTCGTACTGACCACGGTTTATCAGTTTGAAACTTATCGGTTCATTCATTCAACGCCTGTTACCCCGAATGGAGCACTGGCCGCCCACCAGTTTTCTCCAACCAACTCTGTCTTAGGCTTCTTTTTTCAGTTCCGTCCAGTTTTTGTCCATTCTTCTCATATCTTTCTCTATTTATCGGGCTTGTCTTGTGACGCAGTTCGGTGCTTCTCGCAGTGTGTGTCCTATCCACTTCCACCGCTTCTTCCTGATTTCCTCCTCCACTGGAATCTGGTTTGTTCTCTCCCAAAGTAAGTTATTACTGATAGTGTCTGGCCAACGAATCCGAAGTATTTTGCGTAGACAACTGTTAATAAACACTTGGTAGTTCTCCAAGTTTCTGCTCCATACAGTAGAACTGTCTTGACGTTTGTATTGAAAATCCTGGTTTTGGTGTTGATTGATATTTATAAACAAATTACAACACAATAATTTCTTGTGTTTTGCCGTTAATAGTGTATATGCGTTGTTTCTAAGTCTGTAAGCAGTGTCGTGGTTCATAGTTAGGCGGTATTTTACGAACGAAAGACCATTTATTAGTTTATAGAGGAGCATTAGGTTGTTTTTGAGACGACGGCGCCATAGAGGTTCTAGGGAAAGATGCTCGCATCTTTCTGTGTAGTTGAGGTTATGGCTCAATCCGAGAAATCACCGGGTGAAGCTTCTTTGTATATTTTCTACTCGCATTTTGTCCATGATATTCATGTTTGAAAATATGAGTGGACAATATTCAAGTGTGGGCCTTATACAGATTTCGAAGAGAGTAAGCTTAGTCTCACTTGCGAAGAGGTTCTTGTTTATAAACCCAATTAGTCGTCTAGATTTAGAGATAATATTTGAGGCATGTTCTTCGAATTTTAGGCTTTTAGAGTAACTAATACCAATGTCACGCGCTGATATAAGTGTCGGAACCTTACATTTTTGTAAGCAGAGTGGTGTATCAAGGTGACGCTTGCTAAAATGCATTATGCCACATTTGTTGTGGTTAAACGGCAGTTGCCACGTCTCGCTCCAGGTACTTAAATTATCAAGATCACTCTGAATCTTAGCTATATTTTCGTCCAGATCTTCAGGCTTATAGCTGTATATTATTTTCAGATCATCAGCATATAAGTATGCTCTTCCAAATTTAATAGTATTACATATGTCATTTATGTACATTAGAAACAAGAGTGGACCTAAGACACTTCCCTGGATAACCCCATTGGTTATTGGTCTCGGTGATGAAAGACAGTCGTTGTACTTTATCATTTGTTGTCGCCCATTTAGAAACGAAGCTAACCACGAGTATAGTGGGTTTATGATTCCGAAGTAGAAGCATTTTGCGTGGGACTTTATCAAAAGCCTTTTTAAAATCAAAGAAAAGGACTGATACCGCAAGCCCTTTGTCTTGTTCATTCGTGATATCGTTGAAATAATCTAACAGACATGTATCACACGACCTGGACCTCAAGAACCCATACTGTGAGGTCGATATCAGATTGTTACTAAGTAGATGTTGTAGTAACTCTGCCTTAACTATTTTCTCCATAACCCGAGATACTACCGAAGTTATGTTTATAGGTCGGTAATTTTCAACGTTCGCTGTAGGCCCAGATTTTATTGTGGGGATGATATGTGTAGTCTTCCAGTTA